GGAAGGAAGGAAGGAAGGAAGGAAGGAAGGAAGGAAGGAAGGAAGGAAGGAAGGAAGGAAGGAAGGAAGGAGGGAAGGAAGGAAGGAGGGAAGGAAGGACAGACATAGACAGAGTTAGGTTTTCGTTAGGGAAAATCCAACTGGCACATCCTTGGACTGACACCCCTAGAATCTCAAACAAATTGATTCTATATGATACAACGTAAATTTTACCCTCAACAGTACACCCCAGTACTTTGTGATCCAGATGTAGTCATTACAAAACAAAAATCAAACAAAAAGAAAATGGGCATCGATTGCCCTTGCTTACGATCATCTAAAGAGACTTTAGTCTTAAATGCCTGTTTTTAAATTTATACTGATGATTCTTTTCTGCTGTTTCTTTCAGAGGAAGAATTTGTCCCTCTTCTTCAGCATTGCGTTACTGACCTCCTGGGGGACTGCGCTGCTGGGTGTCCGCTTGTACTGGATGGGCAACAGACCTCCGAGCTTTTCCAACTCGGACAATCCGGCAGCCGACTCGGACAGCTTTCTCACGCGCACTCTCACCTTCTTCTACCTGCCCACCAAGAACCTTTGGCTGCTGCTGTGCCCGGACACGCTCAGTTTCGACTGGTCCATGGATGCCGTGCCACTTCTCAGGGCCGTTGGCGACTGGAGGAACCTGCACACCGTGGCCTTCTACGCCGGGCTCCTCCTGCTCGCCTACGCCGGCCTGAAGGGCCCCGGCGGCGGCGGGACAGAGTGCAACGGGAAGGCAGCGATGAACGGCAAGCAGAGCACCAACGGGCACAGCTGCCACCCCGAGACGGACTGCAGGGCGCTTGAGGTGAAGTCCTGCCTCGCATCGAAGGAAGAGAATGGTGTGAAAAAGCCCGGAGTGCAGAAGCTACCGCTGCCGTCGACCGAGAACGTTGTCGTCCTGTCTCTGTCGTTGTTAGTGGTGCCCTTCGTTCCTGCCACCAACCTGTTTTTCTACGTTGGCTTTGTAATAGCAGAGCGTGTGCTGTATGTCCCTAGTATGGGCTTCTGCCTGCTGGTTACAGTGGGTGTCAGGGCCCTTTATGTCAAAGCCCAGAAGCGCTTTCTGAAGAACTTGGTTTTTTGTTCCACTGCTGCATTAATCGTTTTCTATGGACTCAAGACTGTTGTCAGGAACGGGGACTGGCAGAATGAGGAGATGCTGTACAGGTCAGGGATAAAAGTAAACCCTGCTAAAGGTAATTTGTGCTCTTTATGGTGAAAGTTTCATTTCCTCCTGTCTGTCTTTTAATTGCCCAATTTGATATGTGTATTTAAAGAAGCTACTTCAGGAGATGCCCATTTTAGTTGCAGTAGTATGAACATGAGTTAAGGAAAAGTAGGGAAGTGTTTTGATTAGGTATAACAGATTTGCCATTCACACACATATCACGAGAGCCTAAGGTAAGAGGATGCTTTGGATGCTTTGGACTTTTTTAATCTTGGTGCTGCATTTTGGAGTTAAAGATGGGGATCTTAGTTACAGTTGCCAGTCAGGTAATTTTCCATTTGAAGTCCATTATCTGTCTTCCTAACAAAGCTTTTCTTTAAATGTTGTCTGATTGCTCAGTTCTCTATGAATAGAAAATGTAAGAAATAGTCAAGGACAAGCATAAGGAACGTGCTATTCTTTATCTCAGTTGACGTAAATGATGTCAGTACTACATAGTTAAAAACGAAGAAATGAAGTCATATTATTAAGACTAGAAAGTAACTGTAGTTCTAACTGCACACAAGTGCTGTGAAGAGTTACTGACAAATACTTAGGGCTTCTTGTGAAAGTATAAATGTCAGTTATTTGTAACACTGCCCAGCTACTTCTCTCAGAGACTATATGCCATAATAAAACGTGACCACAGCTAATGTGTACATGTCCCGTCAGGCAGCACACTGGCCAGTTTAGGCTCCATCCACAGGGTTCAGCTGCAGCTCTGTGGTTTCGGTGCAGACAGCAAATCCAGCTGGGATGCTGGACGCGGGGCTGCCCGGCTGCTCTTGGCACACGAGTGAGCTTATGTGAGAATGGTCAAAGCACCACCTGTGAGTGCAGCCCTGGCCACAGCGGAGCCTTCATTGCTCACAGAGCATCGGGAGCGAGAAGGGATTGCTGTGGGAGAAAAATGCAATATTTTGCATATGAGTTTCTCCCGTTCTCAGCTCAACAGTCAGTTCTGTGAGGCTGACGGAGCCTCCTGGTTATGTCCTTATGTCAGGGCGTATAATCTGAAAGCTGTGACAATAAAAGGCAAATGCAGATGTCACTGTGAGCTGATCGGGAGCAGGAAAGTAGATCTGGCAGCTGAGATGCCTGGCAAAGCAAGGCAGCTTTGTAGGAGCCTGTCAGTTGTCAGGCCTGGTTTTGTAACTCTTCTTTGTACACAGTGTCGCCCTTGGTAAAATCCCAGGTAAAATTATAGAGCTTGCTGCTGCAGCGAGTGATTTTATTAACAGAACCTCTTTCCTTTTGTTTTCTCCTCCAAGAACTAATGCAAAAGGGCAAGAGATAATGAAGAGCCAAGCAGTGCATCGGCGTGATTATATGTTGCCCTCAGACCCACCAGTTAGAGGCAGTATAAAGCTTGCATTAACAAGTTGTCATCCTCTTGGGGGGAAAAAAAAAGTCTGTGTGTATTTGATTAAAATAATTACTGTATGTTCCTTCCTTTCCTTTTCTTTTGTCCTTCATGGAGATCCCTGAGTAACCAAGGTTGCACTTGTCCTTGTTTGCTTCCTTTGACCCAGTTTTCACGATAGAAAACTCTAGTTTTTGTCCAACAGGAGGATTAGTTGAGACAGTGCCTGGAATTAGACTGCTGGGTATTACTCTCCCAGGAGACAAGTCGAGCTGTTTTCATCATGTGCATCTGAGTGTGCACAGACTCGCGTGTGCAGGACTCTGATTTTTTGCATATAAGCTGACATTAAGTTTCTTGTGAGATATGCAAAAGCAAAGCCTGCATGTCAGTATGGTGATACAGACATGACTGAGCTCACTGTAAATCTCTTTAAAAATTTCCTGGTAAACTTCTGCTGAATATTTACTAGCCCACACACATTGGAACAAGGCAGGGTATCAAAAGCCCCCAGCAAAAGCAACCTGTCACCCAGCTCCATTCATTGCTGTGAATACTTCCTAGATTATCCCTGGCTTTGCCTATGCTAATTTTATTTTCTGTTTCTCCTGCAATCAAGCAAGCCTGACTGGAGCAGACTGGCTGCCAATCCAGCTAAGGCATTAAGAGATCAACAATTCAAACCGCTCTTCTGTAATTAAATGAGGTTGACGTAGAGAAAAAAAAACAATTCATTTTTGTTTGCTTCCTTTTTGTGTTTTATGAATGCTTGTGATCAATGGGGTGTTGAAACCCTAAGACAACGGCCGGTTCGATCGGACAGCCTGGCGGATAAGGCTTTCCTTTCCTTTTCGGCTGCTAGGAAGAGACTTCCACTCCTCTTTTTGTTTTATTTGCCTCGCAGCCATTTCTCCTCATTGCTGTTTTACTTCTGATCATTTCTGAGCTGCAGGAACGTTTTCCCTCAAGATCTTCCCCTTCCTCTCTTCTCCTGCAAAGCACTTCTGAGTGGCAGCTTCTTCTGCCGTGGAAAGAGAAGAGGGATCACTTCAAAACCTCTCCATGGGGGAGCAGGGGAAGAAGTGAGCAAAATCCGCAAGGAGGGAGCAGCTTGGGCACAGCACGGAGCAGGTTGTTTTGCTACAGGCCCATCTGCAGGCAGGCGAGAGCCGCTCGAGGGCCAGGCGCCCTGACCACATCCAGGGGTCCCACACGGGTCAGTCACAAGGTGTGAAAAATACTCAGCAGCAGCGTGTTGTTGCTCTGCTCTCCTGCCAAAACACCCCAATGTGCACCCGGGGATGGGTCAAGGGGATGTGACCGGGCTTGCAAGCCAGGGAGCGCCCCGGCCCTGTCCGGAGGCAGCGGGATGAGGAGGTGGCATCGCGGAGCAGCAGCTGTCACGGGCTGGCTGCTTTGCCGTCTTGATCACGGCGAGTAATTCAGATCTCGTTAAAGAGATCTGAGCCCTGCCTCATTACGGCTTGTCAGCACTGGGGAGAAAAATGGGCGAGATTGATTAATGTAGTTTACAGATTCTCGAGTGGCTGTATACATGTTTTGACGCTGGAGAGGGAGAAGTGTTTCTCTGTGCCTGCCTTCCACTTAATGAGCAGCTTAACTGATACAAAACAGTTCACGTTATTTGAGTGGGTTTTTTTTAATATTATTTTTATAGGGAAGGGAGCCTCACAAAAGGTAAAAGGAGCACCAAAAAATAAAAAGCGGTGGTAGCTGTCGCATCTTCTCCAATTAGAGTGTGAGTCATCCTGAGTGATGATTACCTTGTGTTTAATATAAAATTATAATGACGCACAAAATAATTGTTCTTCTTGTGTTTTGATAGTTCAAGTTTCCTTTGTGGCCCCAAAACCAGGTTTCAAAAAGCATAGTCTTTTTCCTCCAGGCCATTTTGTGCCTTACAATTCACATGATAACTATCTTAGATGTTCAGATATAAGTGCTGTACTGTTGCAAACACTGATTAAAGTAGTAGGGAGTAATAGAGGCTGTTTAGGCTGCTGATCTGCTGTAGAAGAGTTAGCTGCTTGTCTATTTACTGATGGCATTTTCTTTTCTTAGTATTTTGCCTGAGATCTGTAGGCATCCTTCTTGGGGCAGGAGGATCTGATACACCAAAGCTCTTAAGTGGGTGCTTAACATTAACCATGTATTCAAGTCTCAGTAAATTCATGTATGTGACTTGTTTTCTGCAGTGGAACGTGATGCAGAAGCCTATAGCTTCATCTCTCTGAGGATGTAGAGCAAGAAAAAGATACTAGACTGCTTCCAAAAGTGGAATTACTGTGATGCTTCACCTGGTCTCGTACACCTTGGTTCGCACTTGGCATGTGTGTCTCATGTGGGATGGGGAGACTTATGTATGTGCTTTCGGCCTTTCCTGAATAGGAGCTGCTGCTTCTTTTTATTATTATTATTAATAATCATTTTTATTAGGATAAAAAGAAGGAAGCTTCTGGTTATACAATTTTCTCAGTCTGGAAAGCAAACAGAAATCTTTAGTGTGTGCTGCATCAAAACAAAGTCTGTGTTGTTGGTTTCCTTTTTCTATTGTCTGTTTTATTTTTTCCATTCAAATAAATTCGTATTGACTAGGTATTCCTGACAGGTGGTGAGAAGTTGCTATTGACATAAGGAATTATCTTTCCCTGTGAAATCGTTTGGCTGTCTTTGGTTTAAAACTAGTATTATCTTTAATTGTCCTCGCTTAAGTTAAAAATCCTGTTCTTAGCTTGTCACTTCTTACTTTTATCAATCACCCTGTTGATCTCAGTGGGCAGTAATAAGACTAAGAAATGGTGTTGGCAAAGAAGAGTGAAGAATTTATTGGGCAAATAGGTGTGATCAGGGTGAATCTTTCAGTTTTCTTTAATGTTTTCAGAGCATACTGTATTACTAGACTACATTTGTTCTTCTGGGCAGCAATGTGCCTTTTCCTCATCCTTGTTCTTCTTCATTTACTACAGCGTTGTGACATCTTCCTGGCACCTTCTGCTCTGTTTGTGCCTGTAGGAAGTTTAGAGAAGTAGCTCTCTTGTTTTGGCATTTCTTGGCATACCTTTTATCTTGGCTTAGTTTTTATCCCTGGAACCTCATGCATGGATAATTACCATTTTTTTTTTCCTTTTTATTAACTGCAGTTTTGGTGTAGGCTTGGTAAGGGGTGCCTCTCTATGTGGATGTGAAGGTCAAGATGTGAATATGAAGCTCAGCACCGTGAAGTGTCTGAGTTGAACAACCACATATGGAGAAGCTATATGCTCATCTGAGGGATTTTTTGTTTTCATTTGTAAAAAGTAGTGATTGTCTTTTTCTTTCCTGTATAGTTTTCATGTTGTTTTGTGTAATTAGTTTACAGATTAGTTTGGTGGTACCATCTGCTAAAGAAAAACAAAGGAATTACTAAAGTGGAATTCAGAACGTGAGTCGTTTCCTATCATCCGTGTGGGATAACTTTAGCCTTCAGGCTGAATTGTAAAAGCCTATGTGGTTTATTTTTGCATATTTTTGAATTTTCTTTCATTTTCTTGACCTTCCCTTTACCAATGTAGCAAGCAAATGTCTTTAAAGATCATTCTAAACGTTAGCGAAGGAGGAGAAAAAAC